TCCAACCATAATGATTCTATGATTTATAAAGCATTGTAATCATAAAAGTATGTTACTATTTTAAAAGGCATTATTATTTTAAATAACAAATCAATACATGCAGAAGAGATGCTGCCATAGTCTTATTACTGAAGCTTCTAGGTGCGTTACAAGTTCATTGCTTTGCAGGTACACAAGATCCAAATCAGGTAAACCTTTAGTGATGCATTTTTATGGGGATCACTTTATATTGCATGGAAAATGTTAAGCACCAAGTCAAAAACTGCATGACTTTCTTCGTATATAGACAATACTACTTTTCAGTAATTGGCAATTTTTATGGACCTTTTTCTATCTGTGGAGTTTAAATTCTTTACAGGCTTCAGTAAATATTTACTTTTAGAGAAGGCCAAAATGAGGTATAAAGGTACTTAAAAAAAGCCATAATCTCATATGACAGTGCACTAATTCTTTTTCTTACTAGAATACTTTTCTTCTTTGCAAACTTGATAAAGATATGCTTCACCAACTTTTTACTTTATATTATATAAATTATGCTCCCTGTTCTGAGAAGAAAATATGCTGTTATTAAAAAAATCTGGCCAAGAATCTAACGCTTCCAAATATACTGTTGTTACTTATATATCAACTTAGAGGGTAAAAAGAATTATATAAAATGTAGAAAGAAGTAAAGATGGAAATTCTACAATTAAGAAAGCACCACACTATTTTAAAAATATATTAGTTTTAATATACAAGGTGTATAATGTAAAACATTGTATTTGATTTTTAAATAAGGTACCTACAAATGGACAGGGCATGACTCTTGTTTTTAATAGAAAGTAAAAGTTCTAAAGCACAAATTTATTTCCTGATTTTCCATTTGCATAGGGTTGCACTAGTTACCTAAACCTCATCTTGGTCCTTGGTATTTCCTACCTGCATTCTGCTCCATGCTTTCTTTTGTTCCAGCTAATAACTCATGTGCTTCTTCTACATTTTTACCCTGCTCCTCTTCATCACTTTCTTCCTCCTCTCCCACACTGTCAGAGTCCAGTTCTTTAGAAGCCACAATTTTCTCCTGAAGACAAGAACAGAAATATAAATAGGCTCAGAAATTCCATAGCCAAATTTCTTTTATAAACAGATGTAATAAAAGGGAAAAAAAAAAAAAAATCAAACAATTCATTTCATATATGTTCCTGGACTGTGAAATACTGAGCAATCCTCAGTCTCTAAAAAGAGTTCAGTGCATCATGCAGAGGTGATCAGTATGTCAAAAGATATTTCCATTATAAAATGATGGAATTATCACTAATTTTTAATTCACGACAAACATTTTAAAATCACATAAATTAAAATAATAGCAATATTAGAAAACAGCAACACACCAGATTTGCTATTGTTTCAGAAATCAAATCATTTATCTTAATGTGATGTAGCTTGTAGTGTTTGCAGAGCTCTTCAGCAATGGTAGATTTGCCAACCCCAGGAGGACCATGAATGCAAACTTTGAGAGGCTGGAAAAAATGATACAGAGAGAACATCATTCAAACAATAAGGATGTTTTAATGTAAAAGGAACAAACTTTTTACTATAACTAACAGGAAATAACAATTATAATTAAAACTGAAAATATAGTTTAGTTTTATTAATTTATTTATTTCTCGCTGGATATCTCCTATATCATCGACAGGCTTTGAGTAACACAGTTACTTAATCAAAATGTACAACTCTACCATTGGAGAAAAAGCATGCTTCTATTTAGTAGACTTACAGACCAACTTATAGTGGCACTATTACTGTTTGAGTGATCAAAAGAGATGAAACACAACTACACAGATAAGATGCAGTGAATTTTGGAATGAGGTGGCAGATAGTCTACTATAGACATGCAATAGCTCTATTTCCCAACTGAGATAGAGTTGCTGTCATCACAATGCTATTCTGACCTCAAAAATTTCATATCCATCCCAATCTTAAGATATTAGCAATTTCTCATTTCAGCCTACCTAGCCTGCGGATGAGTAAATGTAATTAAGATTCCAGTATACACTTACTAAATATATTATGCAACAAACTCAAAATCATACATCATTAACTACCTATCTTAATTCAATAAATCTGATAGTGCAAACTCTGCAAATTTAATATAGTGACAGAGACAGAGGTCTAGCTAGCCTTCCCTCTCCTTGCTGCTTGGTATGTCTATATTTTGTACTAAATTTTTTGAATTAGATGCGTATGTACTCAGATGCAGTAGTTTAACCCAAACACAGGTCTGATAATTCTTTCAGAGGTATGCAGGGACTTTTAATGAACAACCTGAAATGATAGTAGTTGTATTTTGTGTTACACCTCCTGAACTCTTGTTCAAAGTTTGAACAAGATTTAGACATGCTGAAGAGCTTCACCATACCAATCAATATTTGAATGTCTGCAAGCATTTTTCTGCACCTTTCAATAACCTTCCCTATTTTTTTAGTTCTAAATATTAAGCTAACATAGGAAACAGCAAAGTTGCTCAGTACATTACACAATAGAGCAGGGTATAATGAAAGCTACATTGCAATTGAATATCCTGGCTCTCTGAATATAGTGAAGGACACAAAATACTTGCTTGACTACTGACTATTATATAAGGCTTAAATAAAAGATACGCTTATTGTGTTCTTGAAGCAAAATATTGCCATATATTGCATACAGAAACTAGTTTCAGAACAGCAGCTTCTCCATCAGGAAGCTTATTTGCATTTACAGCGTTTCAGTTTTAGGCATAAAAGAAATAAAATTTAATTATTATCTTTTTAATTAATATTTCCTCTTTTTTAACTTCTTCAATTTAAATTTCAGTTTTTATGTTCACTTATTTTGCATCTGTATCAGTCTTCCATGTATTTTTACTTAAAGAAATCAAAGCTTGTGTTTCTATAACCATTTCTACAGGGAAAAAAAAGAAAGGCACACTTTAAAGTAGTGTTTGCCAAACCATTACCAGTAATCCTCGACTTTGCTTATATTCCTTGACGATTTGTTCAATGTTCTCCACCAGTCCTGCCTGAGCAACCCACTTAATGTTGAAAGTCTCTTTCAGAAACATAGATTCCATTCGCAGGTTCACAAGCAACATATCCAAATGCATTTGCTGAGGGAGCAAAGCTACATTTATTTACAGACTTAAGCTATGCATGTTAGAAGAACACTGTTAGCTTAAACTAGAGACTAGAATGGAGGGGTAAGAATAGGAACAATTAAAGCA